CATAAACTCATTATACCAAACTCCATCACGTCCTCAAACGAATTAGAACTGAAATCCACTTTTCTTAATTTTCCTGTTGTACAGCTTTTTCTCTGGGAAATTGAAGTGTCCCTTGAGATTAGTGTAACTTTTGCTTCACTTATTCACCAAATACACGACTTAAACTTGGAAAAGTAACTAATAAATAAGTCTAATATAATTGTTTAAATTATTGGAATTAGAGTATTTTTAATTTTACCTGTAAGTTAAACTTGGAATCAATTTTTACACAATTTTGTAATATTCTTAATTTTTTGTTCTCACCAATCATTCTTATTTTCAAAGAAAAATTTCCTTCCATATGCACTTTGAGAAAAATTATTCTTGTTTTAAATACTTTTTGTTTAATTTTATTCTCTTAGAAAATTACTGAGGTCAGTTAATTGTTTTAGCAGGCTAAGCACATGCTTATAGCCCCCAATAGGTTTTTCTGAAAAAAATGTGAAAGTTCAGAAATATATAAAAATAAGTTTTATCTATCACATTAACAATACTTCAAAATAAGATTAATTCAGATTTCAAAAAAATATACGATTGTTTTTAATGTTTTCTCTCCAAGAATATAGATGGACGTTATTTTAATATACAATTAATGTGTATATTGCATTTATTATTTGAATATTAAATTTGTAAATTGAAAGATAAAGTTTTTATGTTGACATAAAATTTGATTACAAACGTTCAATATTTCAATTTTATTATGGGTACTTATATTTTGCTCATGCTTAGGGCATTTAATTGGGAAATTATTTTTACATTGATAGCAAATAAAAAATATTTTATAAATTGTCTTGCATTTTTGAGTGTTCATTATTGGCATTGATACTACTAATGTGATAGATAATCAGATGTGATATTAAGAATCTGAAGCGAATTTCCTATACAATTTATCAGTGGCCAACAGTCCACTTACACTATATGCCATGTCAGAATTAATTGCTACACAAGTACCCGAACAGAAAACCAAGGAAGTAAACATCAAACTTTTGATGCAGATTAGCAGTTCTAAAATAACTTTCACGCACACATTAGGTATGTAAGTATTCTCACACATTCTAAAATTTTTTTTTTAATTTTCTGTTGAACGGTTCCCAATTTTTCATAATTGTAAGCAAGATAAAAAGCAGGGCCATGGGTCTATAGAAGCAGATTCAATTGCATTCCAGAGAACACATTCATCAAATCAGGAAATTAATTTTTTTTTTTCTTAATTCCAGTAATTCCAAGACAATCGTTTCGAGTAGATACCTACAAATTGTTGAATTTAAGTTAAATATCAATTTTTAAACATAGGAAATTGATAGAAAAATAATAATTTCCTTCTAGGAAAGGGAAGATAGTAGGTAGTATATAAAATAGACACAATTAGAGACTAATCATTTTAGCATATATTTTGTCATAGGGTTCTATCATTACCTTTTATCACAGTATTCTGATCCTTATAACATCAAATCAAATTACATAAGTATTGTAAACTTGATATTTCAAAACAGCAGTTGTAGAGCTAAGAAGACTATGTAGATTTGACATCTTTCTTGACAATATTTGAAATTTTTTATACATCATGAACTGAAAGGAAATAAAATCAGTAGTTCCATATTGGTAACATCATCAATTGCATAATATTTCCTATTTGTACTAGGGTATTACAATTTTGGATTGCTATGGATAAGGAGGAATGAGAAAGTTAGATTGTCTTAAAGAGATAAGCATTGAAATAACATTACAATCACTACTACATACTTCTTTCCATAGACTGTACTACTTTTTTTTTATATTAACATGTATCAATGACTTAACTATACACTGACTTTATGTCTTCCAGTTCTGACAACAATGCAGTAAATATGAAGAAAATATCTAACTACAACAACATTTTTCTGAATCTCAGATGATCTAAAGCTACTAAAAATCTATAGGACATTAGATTGAATATAACAATAAATGTTCAAAACATTGGTAATGTTTATCTGGTGACATGCCTGTTAATGGCAAATTCACATAAGTGCATAAATTTATTCAGTCTAACTTTACATTTAACATTACTAACTCACAACATCCATGGTAAAATTTAGCAGTCATTATTGGACTCAGAATTATGGTTGTGGAAGACAAACCAGAACATACATTCTCATTACATTACATGGAAGTTTTGTATCTATTTGACCACATGATGGGGATACAACTATAATCTACTATGATAGATGAAAATCAAATCAACAAAAAGATATTTCTCTCTTACAATTTAAACTAATAACAATATTTCACAAGTATCAACATAACTATTTTAACCATTCTGCAGCATGAGATCTTTTACATGATTAAAAGACATTTATCTCTAGTCTTATATAGTACAAGAATGTAAATCAAAATTTCCAAAGCTTTACACGATTCATGGCACAGCTTTTTCTCCATACCTAGAATCAATACACAATCCTATTTACATGACAATAACAATGTACATTTATAGGACTCAACTTATACATACAAATTACACTTTAACATGACATGGGCCAAGCCCAGGAAATAAAGTGTATCTCTCAAAAATGATCCACAGGTCACAAATGAAATGATTCTCCTTTTTTATAGTAGGAAATTGGAAAAGGGATTAGGTCTAAAAAGGAAGAGAAAGATAAGTGATTAAGGAAATCAAATATAGGGCCTACACTGGGTTGGTCAATATTTTGGCACAATGAATTCACACGGAAGACATTATAAACTTCAGGAGAGGGATTTGTTAATTTATTAGTAAAAATAAACCATTTAGAAACAATACTATAGCAGTGATATAGCTGGTTTTTTAATTGTTTTATTCGTAAAAAAAGAGAAATAATGATTTTTAATGAACATATGTACAGAGGCATGGAAGTGATGTAACCGAAGTGTCCTTCTAGATTCTTTCACTTCACTCTGCCATTTACTTTACAATTTCGCCACCTGTGCCGGCTCTGGTGCCTGCATGGTCTAAGCTACTCTATAATAATACTCTCAATTCACTGTACATGTCTCCAATATGGAGAATACCTAATATACAAGTATATGTACATTGTACGTTTTCTCACTTTTTCTGTCTGGACGGTTTGAGACCAGGTTCTTCCCTCAGATACAAGCATTCCAGCATGTATCTATTTGGTCTCAAAATTCACTTCAAGATTACCTTGTAGAAATACATCAAGAACCTACCAGTGTTTCCATACAAGAAATGTAAGTATTGCACATACTTCAGAAAATTCCTTAAATTCTTCAAAATATTCACGGTACCTATTGCACCTCTTAAAGTATTATTTCTCCTTAAACTAGAATCTACCAGACATCCTTTTGATTCAGACACAGAAAAAATGTATACATCACGTGAAGAAAAAACTTACGCTAACATTGTGAAAAATTGATGGTGCGAACTAATTGTTTCTTTGTGGCTATTGTAAGAAGTGAAAACATCTATTGGAGTGATCAATTTCACAACAACTTGAAAGGGAACATGCAGGATCATGTATTTGGAAGATAACACCGTTAAACAGTAAATGTGAGCAAAATTGGAGCCGCAATCTTATGAATCCTACAGCACAATAGGTTCACAGAGCAGGAACATACACAGTTAATAATCAAAATCCACCACTGAGGGCCAGATCAACAGCGTGACGGACAAGATTCACAATGTCAGTCACTTGTCTGATGTAGAAGTCATGGTAAAAACACCACAGAAAACCGATCTTCAGTTGGAGGCAGCAGCCTTTTTCAGTGGACCTACTGGAATCCCACGATGGTCGACAAAGGCGATCCACTTGTTCGCTTCTAGGAGCCATACACGCAGACCACAGGACGAAACAGGTGCAGTCTTCTGTCGATGGACGAAGCCTGGCGCGTGCGCTTTGCAGTACTGCCAACCCCCGGGCAAAGGCGCCGTAGCGCCGCGCGGGGCGTGGCGTGGCGTGGCGAGGAGGAGAGGGGTGAGGGGTGAGGGCGAGGGCGAAGCCCTGGGGGGAGACTAGCTGGCCAGCACGCAGTGTGCCTCGCCCGCCGCCTCCAGGTCGCGCACCGCCGCCACCCAGTCCTGCAGGCGCGGCGCGCACGTCAGAGCTAACTCCCCGAGCTTGCGTCGCGCCATGAAGACGAACTCGCCCGAGCCGTGGCGCGCGCCGCAATGCACCGGCACCTGCAACGAGAGTCGTCCATTGAATTGAATTCAATTGAATTGATGCCTTATTTTAAGTGGCGAGACTCGGGCCATCAGGCCCGCCCTTCCGCCTGACCACACAAATTTCGTTACGCTAGGTTCACCCACTAGCGAAGAAAGGAGGTATTTCTTGGGCGAGGAACAGGCGATTTGAATTTAGCTCAGAGGCGTCATTTACGCTTGAGGATCTTTTACATTTACTAACATGGGACTGCCGGATTTACTTCCCTTCCGAAGGAAGGCATTTTTCGGAGCATTTTGGAACTTTTTTTAGACACAATTTCACTCCGGGAGTAGTCATATTAAATACCACTCGTGCTTTGGAAATTTTCAGATAAATCCCCTCCTCACTTCGCAAGTCGACAATTTGCAAAGCACTCGTGGTATTACCCATGATAAATTGTTTTTGAGCACGTCCACAAATATGGCCATTCGTCTCGTAAGTGTTGTGAATGTTTCTATCCCTAGATTTAATGTAGAGGTTTCCCATTTCCCCTGCCTCTCTTGCATTGAATGCAGATTAATGTACAAAACACTTAATGTACCTTAAAATGAGCTTAATATGTTTGTATATTAAATTTAATGCTTGAATGAAATTCAGTGTAGATTTAATGTAATGACCAAATATATTAAACTCATTTTAATGTACATTAAGTTTGTTGTACATTCATCTACATTTAATGCAGGAGAGGCAGAGGAAACGGAAAAAACTTTAATGTAATATGTAATGACCAAATATATTAAGCTCATTACATTACGTTAGTTGTACATTAATCCACATTCATATCTATGACATTTCCCGACGGTGAACGCTTTTGCGCTCGCCTGGCGTCGAAGGGGTGGGACTGACCTGCAGCGAGACGGCGGTGGGCGCGGCCGGGGTGGCGGAGGCCGAGGGCGTCTCCTCGTAGCCCTCGCAGTCGCCCAGCGGCGACACCTCGTTCTCGGCGCACAGCCCGCCCGCGGCGTCCGTCGACCGGCGCAGCATCTTCGTCACCTTCACGGTCAGCTCCGTCACCTCCAGCTCGGGCTTGTTCTGCACGCCGCGGATGACACCGCGAGCCACTGCGAACGACAGACAACGGGGACGCGTTAAGGCACAGTCGCAATTCGCACACTCAACAACATACATACAACAAGCATAGCGCATAAAGGAAAAAAAAATGTTTTCGAGAAAATCGAGGTTGAATGTTTGTTCCAAGCGAGAAATTCAAACCAGCAGCCGCGCCATACCAGCACGGCGGCGTCTGCCGAAGGGCTGGTCGTTGCGTGGTTTCTCCGATATTTCAGTAAAGACCCATTCACAATGGAAATGTAAACATAAGCATAACGCATAGACGTAAACATTAACATGAGTGATAGACTGAAGTATTCACTGTGTCTAACATAAAACGTAAGGAAAGTAAGAGTTTCTATTGGCTGTGAGACATTCTAGTTTACTATTGGTTGGAAGTGAGAATCTATTTCGAGGTATCGATTGTGTTCATGGCGCATATGGCGTTAGTTCGTCTATCTACTTGAATTCTCGATTTTGAGTTACCGCTCTGTGATTGGTTTATTTCTTATGTCTTACTTTAGCGTAAGCTCAGAAGCTTCAAGCTTGCAAGCGCTAAACTTAACGTCTTACGTGTTATGCTTATGCGAACACAATGTAAACGAGTCCGCTTATGGACGTAGTCCTTACTTTTAGGTTAACGCCATGCTTATGTTTATTTTTGCATTGTGAATGGACCTTTACAAGTCCAAGGGAAGAAACATACAAGATGCGACCCCCTATAACCTGTACTTTCTAGCAAAATATACAAAGAAAATTGAAGAAGCGATCGCGAGTGAATGAAAGTTAATGTTCATAGTCTGCCTCGATCATCATGCTTAATAATTCTTCTGACATCTCTCAAATATGGGGCGGGGTATGACGAATTCTGAAGTACATAGATCGCTTGACCATCTACCGTGATCTAGTTTTATGGTTTTAGTAATACAGGGCATTTCGACTACTATTGGCCGTTTGTTGCAATGTTTACACGTCTCTGTAAAATTTTGCCCTTTTTTCAAGAAATGATTGGAAGCTACGATAAACCTATAACAGTTCAGCAAGAGAAAGGGGAAGGGATGGGAAGAAGCGAAATATCCACCGTCTACCAAAATATCCAGAATATCACAGAATCCTTTCATCAACAGTTGACGCGTACACTCGTCTAGATGACATTAAAACAGGTTGCCCCACCCGGGTAGCGTGGCGCCCTCAGCACTCACGGCGGAGGGGGGGGGGGGAAAAGGAC